TTCATAGAGAATATATGGAGGACTTTCTACAGGAAGATGGGTCAGTGGAATTCGTACGTACTAAATTGAACTATAATTTGATCTTTATAGCTGAGAATATGAGCGCAAACACACATGCGCCATTCCGGCCAATTTATATATGAAATAGGGAAGATGGACATGAATCATACGGGGAGAGATATTTTCCGTTATTTTTTTCCCTGTTTATTTTTAGAAAATAATGGTAAAACTTACTTTTAAATAATCTTATCTTAAATGTGATCGTCATTTGAAAAGAACTGTTTCATTCTTCATTTGTTCATTTGTAATCCACTGCTGTGTTTGATTTCGTGCATTCTTTATTTATATATTTAAAGGAAAAGGTACCAGTGTTTTCAAAATTTGATTATACTGTATATACATAATTTAATAATTGTTATGGGGCTGCTATCTTATTACAACTATTTAATTGCTGTATTTCATTGTATAATTTTCATTATATTATTAGTAAAATGAATTCTAATAGTATTATTACAATTGATTATAATCATTTTACGTTAGAAAATAATTATTATAATTATATTATAATTAATAGTTAGTATATATAGTTTTGTGCCGTCCGGGGGATTGATCCCCGGGTTGGGCAAGTTTGACTCAAACTTTCATCCCTTAATGGGTCCTTTTTCGCTTGGGGACTAAACACCGGGAGTCCTACGACAAGCTGTCCACTTGCCCAGGACATATGCTGATGCACTCCGGAGCCCAAGGTCAAGAAAGCAGATTTCGGGGCACTGCAGCCGTGGCCCAATAGGGCTCTTGCGTCATTGAGTTTAGTTTATTTATAGTTTTATCATCGAGTTAAATGTGTGTGCATTATTAAAACCTGGAAAAAATCCTTTATAATTAGTTTTACTTATTATAAAATAAAGAATTGTTATTATAGTTACTTAATTAATTATAATAATTATCCTGTAATAAATAAATATATTTCTTTTTGGTTTTTAGGCTAAAACCTATACGTATTAGTATTTACATGAGCTGAAAAAAAGCACAAAATTTATTTTAGGGGGAAAAGAAAAACGAGAAGTATTCTTTTAAATTGACAAATGTGACGTTACAATACTAGTAAATGTACTGGCTATATGTTACAATACTAGTAAATACTAGTAGTAAATGTACTGCTTACAGGTTACAATACTAAGTCAATTCATACATTTTTAATAAGAAAGTATTCTAAACTTCTATTTCTCAATTATATTTGTTTTCTGCAGGGAAAAAATAATCATTTAAATAAATTAATCAATAGCTAAATTAATAAACCACGGGGAAGTAATAAACAATTGATTTTATGTCATGAACAACAACAGCATTATTTCAATAAATTAGTGATCAGTAATTTTTGGATTTTTAACTATTTAAGTAATTTAGATAAGAAATTTTAATTTATTTCAAAATGTAAATTTATTTTAAGCTTGTAAATATATAAAAAATGTTACTTTTAATGTAATTGTTTATCATCTTTCAAGAATACCCTATTTTTGCTCAATTCAAGTTAACAATTGAAAGATGGATTTCGTAATATCGACAGGAGAGGAAAAGTGTGATTTTAACAAACTCGGACGCGTCCAAAGGGAGGCTTGACGACATCTAAAAGGGCACGCTTGACAGACAAACGGTACTTCTTCCTCCATTCCCCATTGCACCATCCGCGTCATCCCTCCGCCTTGGGTTCGTGTCTTGGTTGGGCCAAAGAAGGTGTATGCTAAGAACGAAAGCTTTGCTAAAGCAGGAGTGTCACATAGGAAAAAGTATACTACAAGTTTACTCTACAAGGGGGTATTCATCTAGCCTTAATATTTTTTTGTGCATGTAAACCGGCGACTTATTGTGAAAGCAGATCCACGCTTAATACTTCTTTTGAGCATGCACGAAGTTGTAGTCAAGCTGATGTTGAAGTCAAAGGTCACATATGTGAGCAGTTTAAAGTTCTGTAATACCGTTCCGTGTGAATTCAGGATACACAAGTTACGTGTACTTTTAATTCGAAAATAAACTGCTAACTTTGTAATTATTTTCCGTCGTCATGAGTTCGGCGAAAAAAAGCAAATAAAATGATTATATTAAATACAAATGTCGCCCAGCCGCAGTGTGTTATTTGTCACAAAGTATTGAACAATGATGGCATGAGACCTTCTCATCTGCAAAATTTGTTAACAAATCATTGCGTGTTGAAAGACAAGCCGAAGGAATATTTTGCTGCAAAATATGCAAATTTGAAACATCTGAAACTGGATAATACTGGATGCTTTTATTAGTCATCTGGAAAATTTATTAGTCATCTGGAAAAGCGCTCGAAGCTTCGTATGAATTGTCCTTATCGCAAATTCCACGGAAAGTCACATTATCTAAAAACCACCTTGTCACACCTTGCTTCGTTGAAAGCAGCTGATATTGTTCTTGACTGGCAAGTACACAGAAGCTCTCACAAACACTGTCAAACATCGCATTGCTGATGACTTAAAAAGTCAGTTAGTGTAGGTCGTGAAGGAACCAAATTTTTCTCAATACAGTTGGATGAGAGTACAGATGTTGCAAAATGCTGTCAACTGTTAGTTTTCATTCGCTTCATACAAAGTGGACTATTAAAGACCAAATGCTGTTTTCAAGAGGTTTAACGACTACTTCCAAAGCAATTCATATAGTGACAGCAATCTGAATTATTTTGCAAATATTAAATATCATGGTAAAAGCTGATAGGCGTATGCACAGACGGCGCTGCATCAATTCTTGGATCTCGCTGAGGATTTGTACAGACCGTCAAGACTTGGCAGTTAGGACATTTCCAAACGAACTCAACGAGGTCTTTAGATTATACATCAAAATTGTCAATCTTATTAAAAAGAGTGCTTTAAATACTCGACGTTTACGTCTTTTTGGGAAGATTTGGCACCAGAACATAAAACGCAATTACAAGGTGAAGTTTCGAACACAATTTATGGACATTATAGCATATACTAAGAAATTGCGACTTTTAGAAAGTAAAATAATTTAGCCTGCAATTATTCCTGCTTCCCCAAATTATTCGGAACCATGGAAGAAAGGCGCTTTAATAAAATATTTAAGATTCTAATACTAAAAGAATAAAATATCAAATCATATGCAACAAATCACTGGTGAATTCAAATCTTACTTCCCTAACTCGTATGATAAAAATGCTTACAGAATGATAATGGATGCTTTTCACGTTGACGTATATATACTATAAGAACAAGTTTTGGAAATTAAAAGTGATTCTGCACCAGATATGACTTAACGATATGTGAGAAGACGGATAGTCCATTACTTTGAGTAAAATAACTCAAAGTTTGTCTCAGAATAACAGAGCAAGCACTACAAATGTATTTTCCGCTTTCTATCACCTATTTGTGCGAAATAGACTTTTCAGCAGTTGTATCAATAAAAAGGAAATATAGAAGCAAACTCAGTATTGCTAGCGATTTACGTTGCGCACTTTCTTCTATTCAACCAAGAAATGTTTATCTTGCCAAAAATATGCAAGCACTTCCGTCTCATTGATTTATCTGTTTTATTTTTTGTTTCTACTCCTACCGCATGCGTCTGAAACAGTATGTTTTTATAATATAACCTTTATAAATTATATTTTTTGTTCTTTTTACTCTTAAATGTAGATATTATTATTATTATTAGAGAAGAGATGCGTGGCCATAAAAAAAAAAACGCTGGGAACACGTGTTCTAAAAGAGTCAAGCAAATAAAATGAAACTTTAAAATGTATTCAACAAATATATTTATTACCACTGATTTTCAATATTTTAGTGAACTTGCATTCAATAGAAGTGCCTTATTCGCCATTCCATTCATCAAAATAAGATACTTGTCAATTGCTAAACTCCATCTCAGTTTATTTCAGATTCAAAATTTTATTATTCTGAGTATTTTCCCATGACGTTATAGTTTCTCTTCTTTTCGAAAGGACCATAGACACAGCATTAGCAATAAATATTTTTTTGAATGTTTCAAAAGAAACCGTAAGTGCATGATGGCCCAGAACATTGCCTAAGGCCTCATAAAGCCCCGTGTTTCAAACATACTGCTCTTTTGCACATAAAAAAAGACTAAAATCGTCTTTTGGAGCAGTTGATAGCATGCACTGCCTAGGATTTTGTTATTATGATTTGTTGTGATTTGTCGAACTTGCCTGACAGTGAGTTCAAAACAAGCCCACGAAATACATCGCGTCAAAGAGAGCAAGACTGCGCCTGTCGTTAGCAAGAGCGCCATGCAGGTGACAGTACGACTTCGCTCTATTCTACCTCTAATTTTGATAAGGATCACCCCACGGGGTATTCGGACTGTCTCCCACCCCTCTTTCACTACCAACGAACCACACGAGAGGACTTCCGGCTAGCCATATATGTAAAATGTCTCCATGCCCCTCCCAGACACTATACATTTGCAAACATCCATTCCTTCTCCGGGACTCAAACCCGGGGCTTTCGATTTGCAGTAGGCTCCCCTAACCATTATACCATCTAGGCAGCGCCTAGGGTTCTTTACTGCTTTAATCCAGCCGGTGTGTGACTACAAAGTGAGATGAAATTTGTATAAAATAATGCTAGTGCATCTTAAAACAGAAGAGTAGAACATCTTATTTTTTTACAGATCTGAAAATGAAATATATGCACGTGTAAAAAGAAAATTTTATTTGCAAAATTGTATTCAGATCTAAATACCAATTGCAAGTCTACAGCTACGTTCCTCTTATTTGCTTAAAAATAGAGTTCTATCATAACAATATAAGCCCAACTGCGGCCGATCGGGAAAATCGCTGAACGCTAGTAGTTCTCACCGGGACTCGATTCCAGGCAAATGGGCTGGCTGCGTGGGGGTTTTCATGGTTTTCCCCATGTGTTATGTATTTACGAGCCAGATGGGACATAGGACATTGAAAGATAAAAGTTGAAACAGTTTTAAACATATATTTAAAATATTACTTACAATTATTCTGTACATTTCCTACAAATACACGCCATGTGTTCCATACACACATGTTTTTGACATTTTTCACAAATATATTTTGTTTTTCTGTCCTTTTTAGATCCACATTCAGCACATCTTTTAATTATTACTTTTGCCTTCTTAGCAGATGGTTGAGAGTCCTCATTCTTTACCAGTTTTACTTTCAAACTTTGCGGAAGCATTGTTTGCTGGCTTCTGATCTTTTTGTAGTCTTCGATTAGTTTAAATCCCAAACTTTTCAGAAAAGAACGTCGTGTTCGATTCTGAGTCGGTGGTTCCTTAGTGGATAGCAAAATAACGCGTGCATTTATAGCAGCTACATTCAACATTGCATAAAATATCGTCATAGGCCATCGATTTGTTTTTTTAGTTGTTGAATATGTCGCAGCCATTTCGTCGACGACATCGACAGCTCCTTTCGTTATATTATAGAAAGTTATTATTTCGGGTTTCTTTGATTCTCCAGTAGTGATGTCTATTGCATTATCGTTATGCATTGTTGAGAGCAGAAGAACATTTTTACTCTTCTTTGGTACATACGAAACAATAGTAGTTTCTTTCTGAAATCCAAACATGGAAGAGTAAGCGTCCCTTTTTTTTTGTACTCAAGAATATTGGAGGAATTTCTTTCTTATTTTTTCTCAATGTTCCAACAATTGTTATATTTTTTTTCAAAAGTTCTTGTGAAAGTGGATAAGAAGTGTACCAGTTATCCACTGTTAGATTTCTTCCTGAATTATACAGAGGTTCCATCAATCTTTTTACGACACTACTGGGAGAATTATCTACTTGAAATGGACCTTTCGGCTGTTTACCGGCATATATTTCCATTTTCCAAGTATAGAACACTCTCGAATCGACGAGCGCAAAAACTTTTATTCCATACTTCGATGGTTTCTTTGGCATGTATTGGCGAAATGGACATCGCCCTCTAAAAGGTTCTAATTTCTCGTCTATGGTTACGTACTCTCCAACGTTGTACGATTTTTGGCAGTTTTCTACAAAATTTTCGAAGAATTCACGTATCGGGGCCAATTTGTCTAATTCTTTTCTGCTCTGGCGAGTTTGCATATCATCAAATCGGATGCATCTCAATAAAAAATAAAAGCGTGTTGATGACATGGTTGTACGGAATATTTCTATTCCAGTGCCGTCTGTTGCCCAAAGATCTCGTATATACACATGTGATGATTTATGCCAACCAATGAGATAAAGCAATCCAATAAATGCTTTAACTTCAGCCTCATTAGTTTCTTTTGCATCTCTTTCCCGTGAAAAACGCTCTCGAATCGATTCTATAAAACTGTTAGTCCAATGCACTAACTTCTTTATCATATCAGAAAATATAAGGAGGTTCCAAGCATCCACAGGAGAAGTTACATTCTTTGAAACGGGTGTATTTCCTGGGAGTTTTGATATTATATTTTTCGCAGAAATTCTAACATTCCACTTCGTTATGTTATCTCTTCTGATAAAATAATTATCTTCACTTGAATCTGAAACATCGTTTCCAGAATCAGATTCAATTTCTGTTGAAGAATCATGATCACTACAATATTCTTCGTTATCTGGCTCTTCATTACCTGAAAAATCACTATCTTTCTCTATATTTTCTTCATCAGAAGAAACAGTATCCAGTAAATTTTTCAAATACCGCATTTCTTCGTCATAAGTGCGGTAACGCGCCATAACGAAAGAACGATTTAGATATGTCTGCCTGTACTGAGAACAGTTACAGAAATGCTCGCTCTGGGTGTGAGATACCCAAGCCCCGCGATTTAAGGAGATCTATTTTTAGAATTCTTTCGCCGATTCTCCCCTTCAAAGGTTATGACCTTTGAGGCAGCTACATGAAGACTCGTCCATTTTTGAAAAATGTTTGGGAAGAAAAAGTGCGAAATAGGAGTCACTGGGTGTGAGACACCCAGCGCGATCAAACCCGGGTTAAAGAGCACAAGAATGTGAGTTTGATTACTATAACTTTAAAATCTTTACGTTTTCATGTCAGAATCAGACTTTCAAAAGTGATAAAAATATATTTACGCGGGAATTACAATTATGAAAAAGAGATTTAAAATGTACTGTAGTTCTGATACGGAATTCACAAATCAGTATGCAAAGCGCCTAGGAAAAAATATTGCCCAATTAAAGCGCTATACCAAAAAAGAATATAGGCTTTCAAATAAGTCTGTTTAAACACAAAATTTAAATAAATGAATTTATTTTATTCTGAAAAGTACACATTATAAAAAAAGTTGTAATTTATGTTTAGGTGACCATAAAATTGGTGCCAAGGAAAAGTATCAACCGCAAGGAGACAGTTCAGAGATATGCGAGCGGCATGTGACCTGGCTTTATTTTGTTTGTAAAATGAGACCAGGATGACGTGCCATGAAGGGTAATGCAACCGGCCGCAGGAGTATCAATATATCGTTGAGCTGCTAAAGATGTTCGGAGGATGACTAAAGATGACCTGCTGTCATAAGAAATAGCGCCCCACACCATTACACCAGCAGTTATGGATATACGCCTTTGTAAACAAAGGCTGGCCCCCTCCTCTCCAGACACGAACACGGTGGTCATCTGCATCAAGAGTGAAGCAGAATTCAACGCTGAACAGTATACGATGCCAGTTTGATGGCAGCCATGATGATCGGCTGCGACACCATTCCAGACGACTCCGCCGATGTTGTAGGGTCAAAGGCAAATGTTTTAAAGGCCTCTGTCAGCGTAACCCCGCCTCAGACAAGTGCCGTGAGATGGTGGACGGTACCACGGGAGGTACAGACTTGGCTGCAGTGTGTCGAATAGTCGAAAATTATACCATTGGGCCGGCTTAAAATTATCACATTTGGGCTTGGCGAACAATCATTTTATCTTGCCTCGCATTTTTGCTCCTTGGCCTTTCAGAGCCTTCATTTCGTCGGCAATTTCCTTGTAGCAACTATTGCTGCCAACATCTTTACACAGCAGGGTCTATACGCTGCAGGTGGCGGCCTATTGTTCGGTATGACCATCCAGCTTCACGCAACCCTACAATGCGACCACTTTCGAAATCGTTTAGTTGTCTGTAAGGTCTTCGGTATCGTTGTAATGGCATCTTTAGTTGATTCTTTACGAATTGACAACGGCAGCAACAAAAAAAAAAAAAAAAAAAAAAAAAAAAAAAAAAACATAAATTTTCGGCCTCTGTTACTGGTTTTATATTTTGCGAATTGCTCACTAGAAATGCGCGCTATGATCGCAATTCCTGTTCATTTGACTTGAAACTTTGATCATTTACATTTTCGATCAAAATATTTTTGCATACCAAATTTCTTCATGATCACAAAAGTTTTTCTTAGTGCTTCGATTTTTCTTGCAAAAAACTGTAAAATGTAAAAATAAAAATATTAACAGTTTCAGATTTTAACGGTGGCCAAAAAGGATTGTTAAGATTTTTAATGCTCTGGTAAGCTCGCAGTCTATCAGCCTGCTGTTGCACTCATTCCTGCTAAGATATTTTTTGTCTTTTTAGCTTTATTATTAAGCATCATTTTCTTTTCACTTACGCCATATACAATACAATAGGAAAATCACAAAAAGTTTAAAAGCGCCATAGCAGCATATATTCAAAATTCCTGATGCAGTACTAAGTGTTGGCACACATGTTTCTATTATTTTCAATCTTTTGTCAGTTTATTGTATTCGTATTGAGTTTTCTAAGCAACATGGCTTACGAAATTTTTTTTTTTTTTTTATTAATGTTTTGTGCGCTAACTTGATTCACTAAATGTTACATTCTGGCACTTACGCTGCATAAAATGCAAATCAACAACAAAATCCCAAAGTATTTAAAAATTAACTTCTCATAGACAGACTCGCGCGCTGAAGATAAAAATGTTTTATTTCATACAGTGCTGCTTCGCTTTCAAACCACTGAACTTTTTAACCAAAAATTCGTTAGAGCCTTACTAAATATAAAATAATAAATAATAAAAACATGTAACATTATTCTAGGAAAATACTGAATATTTTTAATGAGATAGATCATGAATTAAATGCATTTTATTTATTAAATCAATCCATTTCAAAAGTAAGAAACGAATGCTTTTAAGAACGGTATCTAATGCTTTCAAAGAGTTTAGTTTGTTCATACACAAGAGACAGATTCAGGGACATGTTACTTTTCCGCAAGAGAAAACGAGGAAGAATGACTTGGAAGTAATGAAGAAACAAGGAAGAAAACGAGGAAGAATGAAGCATTAGATACCGTTCTTAAAAGCATTCGTTTCTTACTTTTGAAATGTATTGATTTAATAAATAAAATGCATTTAATTCATGATCTATCTCATTAAAAATATTCAGTATTTTCTTAGAATAATGTTTGTTTACATTAGCTATATATAAATCACATGATCTCTGAGGTCTCCTAAATTGTTTTATGCATTAGCTATACATGATTTCCGTGATCTCCGAGTTCATCGGAATGTATCTCATTCGAAAGATCTATAACTTACATTTTGCCGAAAGCAACAGACTCAAATGAAAAGTGAAAAACCGCATTTATAGTGATACGATGCAAGATCATGTTTCGATCTTGATAGCACTTTTGGATTAATAATTAATAATTAATAATGAGAATGTATACTACATGTATTATAAAAAACAGCTAATTAAGCATAACAAATTTATAGAACGGAACAGTAAAATATGAAATTTATGCACTAATTTTTTGTGTTATATTGCACTTAAAGAAATTAAATAATGAAGAATCTGTATGAATATATATATGCTCCTTGTATTGTGAAAAAACTACGATACCTAGAATCAACAAACTTTGAATAACGTAAATCCTCCGCTCGAATATGGGCACCTGGAAGGCCAGTTTCTTGAATTTCGAACTTTTTTATTATCTATTGGTGTTTTAAATTTCAATGAATTTTTGATTAAGACACTGAACGATTTCAAAACGAGCAATGGCAACACAATGTACGGAATAAAATATATTTATCTCCAGCACACTAGACTGCCTTTCGGAATTTCTAAAGATCTGCTGTTTTTAAATATTTTTGGCCCAAAGGCGCGTTAGAGCGAATACTCTCGTATGCGTAAATGAAATAAACGCCCCTCTGAGCGTAATATAAAATCTGAAAGCTTTTCGATTTTTAACGTTTTGTGAGTTTATTTATTATTCATTTGTATAATATTCCTCTATAAAAATATGCTTAGGATTCAAATGCATATTAACATGAAATCGTGTTTATTTTAGGTAGATATCACCATTATTGCCATGCCTAAATACTAATAAAATATAGTCTACGCTTTAAAACAAAACGAATTATGGAGCATGAAATCAAAGCAAAGTCCATTTAATATTTAAAGGTGAAAATTAGTAACAAGAAAACCGAGAAATTTCCAGAAAATCCTCTCCCCCCTTCCCAAGTATGCCTACGCAGCCAATTGTAGCAACCCCTTTGCAAACCCGCCAGCAAACGCCGCGCGCTTTGCATCTCAG